AATGGAATCCTGGTGCTTTCGAGTCAACTTTCTTTTTTTCTGTGCCTGCACGCATTGCTTTTCACCACAACAGGCCGCAGACTTGCACGCAGTGGAAAGGCACCAGCCGGCTAAGGCCACCACTCAAAACACTCCCGCACTCAGTCATTCACTCACTCACGCTCTCAATCACAGGGATTCGGACTGGGTATGCCTGGGTCCAGATCACACGCTTTCACTCAGCTCCACTCCACTCCACTCGCTAGTAGTTCGTGTGCAGCCATTTCCGTGTCAGTTTCGGGAAGGTTTACCACGTGCTTGCTGATGGCAGTACTGCAAACTCAGCTCAACATTCCTTGCTAGTGGTACCGAAGATTAACCAGGCAAAGGAAACCGTTGCAGTGCTGAGGATGGCGAACTCGTTGACATGCGTATGTTGTCTTTGGCCAAAGTCCGGAACTTCAAAAAATCTTGATCTCCATATTTCGGGGCAAGCAAAGTGCCAATTTCGATTCGATCCGTCTTGTGGCAAACAGTCTTACCCGCGCTCTGCTCCTGTGTAGTTGCTTGTCTGGCAGCGTTCGGACAACCGCAATCTGATTTCTGCCTGCCACTGATCTCAAGTCAAAGGCTCAAAGGCATGCCCTCCTCTGAAAAGTCCGCCTATGTTTGGACACTTCCGGTCAGGCAGCTTGCTTAAAGCCACTTGCCCTGCTGCAGTTGTGGCAAGCCAGCAACATGCGGCAGGTTGGGCAGCATGAACTAGCTTTTGTGGATGACCAACTGCAGCAAAAACGACAGGAGCACTTAACGGATCCTGCGGGCACTCGCAATCCGACGTTGTGGCTGCTACAGCTGATTGTATACGATCAACTACTCACAGCTGAACCTTGCATCAGTCTCATTTCGTTTTGCTTTTCCTGGACTCTGATGCTATCGGCCGCGCACGGTCCTTGGCGGGGCTCACGGCGTAGAGTCCGACCACCCTTCATGTGCAACCAATTCTTGCAGCATATATATATATATATATATATTGGAAAAGCCCTGGAATGCTTAAGACACCAGGGTTTGCCGGTGCAAACCGTAGGGTCAGATCTGGGGCAAAGGCCGGGGTAAGATTTGGGCCTGGCCGGGGTAAGACTTGGGTCTGGCCGGTGAAAGATTTGGGGTTGCTCGGAGTGATGACCAAGATAGGTACAAACGCAGCAACTCTTCAACACAAGCAACGTGGGCGACACTTGGCAATTGAGCCCTGAATCTTGCGCACGTACCGGGAGGCACGTGCAGGGGCAGGGGTGGGGGCGGGGTCGGGGGCACCCCATTCCGCTGTCGGGAACCTGTCGGGAACTTGTCGGGAGCTGTCCGGAGCTGTCGGGAACCTGTCGGGAGCTGTCGGGAACCTGTCGGGAGCTGTCGGGAACCTATCGGAACCTGTCGGGAGCTGTCGGGACGGACCTGCACTCCCGCCAAACCCTTCTGGAATGCTTAAGGCGGGTTCCAAGTTGGTGTCAAAGCTGGTGCGGAAAGGTGTCAGAGCCAGCTCCCGACAGGTTCCCGACAGCTCCCAACAACTGCCCGACAGCTCCCGACAGGTTCCCGCCAGGTTCCCGACAGGTTCCCGACAGCTCCCCGACAGCTCCCCGACAGCTCCCGACAGGTTCCCGACAGGTTCCCGACAGCTCCCGACAGCTCCCGACAGGTTCCCGACAGCTCCCGACAGGTTCCCGACAGCTCCCAACAGCTTTTGACGGGTTCCCGACAACTCCCGACAGGCCCAGATCGGTGCAGAATGGTACGACCCCGCCCAGCCTAGCCAGCCCAGCAACAGCCCAGCCGCCCAGCCCGGCCCAGCCCAGGCCCAGCCAGCCAGCACCGTTCAACACTCACAGATCAAGCCCCGCCTTGCGCACCAAAAACACTTGAATCCAGCCCTGCTTTGCACACCATCCAGCCGTGCTTTATGCACCAAAATGACTTCAAACTTACCTCAAACCCTATCTTGTCCTACTTTGTCCCCAGCTCAAACCCCGGAAACCTCTGGATCTGGCCCCGGAATGCGAAAAGTAGTCTTAAGCATTCCAGGGCCTGAACAATATATATATATATATATATATATATGTACGTAGGACCTTTATGTATTATTTGACGGGTCTGTTTCAATTCCAATAATTTCTTACGCCTTTTAAATAATTAAACGGCCCTTTCAAATTTTAAACGGTCCTTTAAAATTTTGAACGGCCCTTTAAAATTTTAAACGGCCCTTTAAAATGTTAAAAGGCTCCTTAGACTCTTTCAAATTCGTAAAACTCCTTATAATTTTGAAAGAAACGAAATTATATTGGGGCCAGGCACGGCCCATTTAAAATTTTAAACATCCTTAAAATCCTTAAAATTTTGAAAGCCCTGTGTCTGGCTTTCAAAATTTTAAAGAATTTCAGGGTGCTTTTAAAATTCTAAAAGGCCCTTTAAAAATTTAAAATGCCCTTTAAAAATTTAAAAGGCCCTTTCAAATTTGAAAGGCCTCCTTAAATTCTTTCAAATTTTGAAAGCCAGACACAGGGCTTTCAAAAAAAATTTAAGGATTTTTAAGAATTTAAATGGGCCGTGCCTGGCCCCAGAACAATTTAATTTAAGGAATTTGAAGGCCTCTTCAAATTTTAAAGGGCCGTCTAAAATTTTAAAGGGCCTTTTAGAATTTTAAAGGGAACGCAGGAAGAACTACAGAAGGTTGCCGTGAAGTTAGGCTACAAAACCTTCGGCAACTTGCAGGGTTCTGCGGCTTCGCGGGTCTGGCAGCTTCCGAGTGCCAGCTGGGTTCCTTCAAACCCTGCGGGTCTGCCAGGGAGGCTCCTTCATTGGGTTGGCCAGGGCCGTTAGGCCCTGGCCGGGTCGTTCAGGCCTCTGCAAGTGTATAAGGGTCCTGCGGGGCTGTGCGGATCTGGCAGCCGGCGACTGCGAATTCGTGGGGTCTTGGGTGGTTGGGCAGAGTCGTCAGGCTTGTCAAGGCTTGCAGGGTCCTGCGGGGCTTTGCGGGTCTGGCAGCTTCTGACTGCCAGCTCGCGCGGTCCTTCGGGGCTCCGCGGGGTGGTTGGGCAGAGCCGTCAGGCTTGCATCCTTCGGGGCTCTGCAGGTCCAGTGGCTTCCAAGGCTTGCAGGGTGTTGCAGCTTCTGACTGCCAGCTCGTGGGGTCCTTCGGGGTTCTGCAGGTCTAGTGGCTTGCCAGGCTTGCAAGGTCCTGCGGGGCTTTGCGGGTTTGGCAGCTTCGTGGGGTCCTTCGGGGCTTCGCGGGTGGTGGTTAGGCAGGCCGTTGGCTTGCAGGGTCCTTCGGGGCTCTGCAGGTCTAGTGGCTTGCCAGGCTTGCAAGGTCCTGCGGGGCTTTGCGGGTCTGGCAGCTTCTGACTGCCAGTTTGCGGGGTTCTTCGGGGCTTGGCGGGTGGTGGTTGGGCAGGCCGTCGGCTTGCAGGGTCCTTCGGGGCTCTGCAGGTCTAGTGGCTTGCCAGGCTTGCAAGGTCCTGCGGGGCTTTGCGGGTCTGGCAGCTTCTGACTGCCAGCTGGTGGGGTCCTTCGGGGCTTCGCGGGTGGTGGTTGGGCAGGCCGTCGGCTTGCAGGGTCCTTCGCAATTTGCAAGTCTAGTGGTTTGCCATGCTTGCAAGGTCCTGCGAAAATTTGCGGGTCTGGCATGCGCATGGGGATAGATATGTCCATTGTGGTGTGCGCCCATCAGCCTTTGTTCTTGTCGTGGTCTCCAGGGTCTACACCAGCATCGGGTGAACTTGGGTAGATAAGCAAGAATGCGACCCTCTCCGTGGTTTCACACAGCTTCAGACCCTTGTGAAACCAGACCGACAATGGTTGTTCCGCAATCTTGGCGGAATCGGCAGCTGTGAGCAACTTCGTCAGATGTGGTTCTAGCAGTTAACCGCATCGGATGAATGGTTAGCGGAGCCCGTTTCCGACCGCACAGGTGTCACTTCCTCTTTGTTTGTTGCTAATGTTGTCTTCTGCGTCAAGACGAAGTCCGAGTGAAGAGCACAGTGATGCGTGCGAATGAGAAGCTGGTGTTAGCTTACGTGATCCTAGATTGTGCGATTCAGTGCGAGAATTCGAAAGTTCCAATATGATCATGAGAAGGCGTTGATTGGTTCTCCTTGACAGAACAGCGGTCAGAGATGCGAAGGTTGATTCCAAATCCTTTCTTGTGAACAGGACTTCATGGCTGTCAATGTCCTCTACTTCCGATGACGCCAGGCTGGAAATTTAGTCGTATAGACAGAGACTGTTGAACTCGCAAGGACATGCAAGGACAGGAGTGTCTTGTGCATAAGATCTCTTGATCAACTCATGTGATGTGCGCATGCGGCTTTGCTCTTCCCAGAGTTTCGGCTTGAGAGCCTGTTGGTATCATTCGCTTCCTACAGCAACCTTTCGACTGTCGCTTTTCGTCTGCAAGACCAGAGACGCTTTACTCTAGCAGTCTTTGAGCGCTGTTCGCGTGCTTGTGTTAGAATCCGCATTTGTCATAGCTGAGGTCAAGCCACTGACAATTGCAATGGCAAACGTCCGTACCATCTTCATGTCTATTCTAGAAGACGTTATGGGAAGAGACAGCCTTAGTTGTCCTGTGTACTTCCGCATGTGAACTGTGTGGTTTGCGACCATTTGAATGAGGCCAGGGCATCGTGTTCGTAAGCCCGCCAGTGGCGGTGGAGCACCTTCTCAACGGCTTGCTCAGCCTGTGCGGTTTCTCTTTGGCAGTTCGACATTCCCTGTCCAGCCTTTTTGGTTAAGTGGACTTGCATTGCACCAGCTTTCAAAGGTCAGGCCTCGCTCAATGAGAATGAGAAAGAGAAGCTGGATTTGGTACACGGCCGTGGCATCTTCATGGCTGTTCTGAGGGAAGATCCGAGAGGAGACAGTCTTAGCTGGTCTTATATGTCGTATTCTCGAACACCCTCCCTTTTGAACATGCGTGGTAGCGACCGGTTGAATGAGGCCGGGACAACGTGTTTGTAAACCCGCCAATGGCGGTTGAACACCTTCCCAACAGCTTGCTCAGCCCATGCGGCTTCTCTTCTGCAGTTCGACCTTCCATGTCCAACTTTTTTGGTCGGTAGACTTGCGCTGCAGCAGCTTTCTTTCGAAGGTCAGATGTGTGAGTTCGTCGTTCACAACGGCTACTATTGGGTGGCTGGTGAATGGATGGAGCCGCACGGACGAGGTGATGGTGCCGAGTGGTGCACTTCGGCCAAGTCAACGGCTGTTGCGCCGGAAGCTGCTGTGAGGCGACTACTTCTTCCACAGCATATCGGAAAGACTGCATCAGGGCGATGCTGAAGCCTGGGTTCCAGCAAGGCCAGAGATCAGTTCCTTGCAAGGCTTGCATGGGTTAGTGTGATAGATGGGAGACTGCCAAGCCGATGCATTGTCCGAGCCAAGCCCTTCGTCGCCAGGCAGACGACGTTGCTAGAGCACGACGGGCTCTACTTGGTGATCGCTGAGTGGATGCCGCCAAGCGGGCGAGATGATCCAGTTGAATGGTGCTGCTTGGCAAATTCGAACAAAACCTGAGCATGATTGTTCATGTCTGGTGCACAACGCAGCACATAAGGCGACTACTTTGTCAAGTCCATCTTGGAGAGGTTGAAGCCAAAGGTTTGGAGAGTTCGCCGAACGCCTTGGCCACATTCCCGAATCTCGCGGTCGTCCTGGTACAAGGGCTTCACGGGTCGGTATCGGAGGACCTTCGGCGCACCGAAGATCTGCAGGGTATGGAAGACCAGCTCTCCCTGCGTCTCAGTAATATGATTGGCAAGGTTGTGCTCTGTACCTGTGATGAAACAAGGCCAAGCTCTGAAGTTTGAACGCCTTCAACATTGTAATGCCAAGGCCAGCCGAAGGCAGATGCATCAGGCTACCCTCCGAGCCTCAGCAAGCAGCACTTCCGCGACTGCTGCTTGGTCGACTCTCTGCGAGCCTTGGGCCATAAAATCTCTTATCCAGGAGATGGCCCCTGGCGAATCAGGGACGGTATCGAGTGGCTTAGGCCACTGGATAAGACCATCAGGCCCCCATCCATTTCGGAGGTGATCCGCAATCCCGGAGACTTCATCCTGGCATTTGATTCGCACTTCATGCCCGTGCGACACCAGAACGGACATGGTTTGCAGATTAATTCCTCCTCGAAGACGCACCTGTGGTCTGATCTTCACTTATCTGCAGAAACATCTGGCGCAGCAGTCCAGATGTTGTGGGACGGTGGATTCACGCTGAATCCTTACAATCTCGATGCTGTTCTTGCTGTCGTGCCCGATGACCATGCCCTGTCAGAACTACAGCAGGTTCCTGCAAAGGACTACCAGGGAGGCAAAAACGAAGTGAACTCGGCGCAGAGGCTTCTGCAAGCCTGGACACAAATCCAGTTCGAGCAACCGCCTCCCATGGCTCGACGCGCTTCGAGCACTGACTCGGACGGTTCTGGCGACTGGGAGGAACAGGAGCAGGACGCACCTGCAGCGCATGATACGTACATCCGCTGGAGCGATGCGGAATGGATTTGGAGTCCAATTCCTCGCAGGCCGGTGATTCACGGAGACCTTGAAGATGTGGCCGACTATGTTGGGGGATCAGACAACAACGACAGCACGTTCTTGCTGCAGGAAATTCTTGCTCACCTGCCGCAATATTTCTTTTCGCCCAATTATCTCAGATCTCTGGCTACATGTTGCAAAGCATTGAGAAAACACGTGCTGCAGCCTGACCTCTGGTATGATAAAAACTTGTTCTTGAACGATCCGGAGATGCAGGACGCTGTGACTGTGCGACAAATGGAACGTTTGTGGTCCTTGGCCCGAACTATCACCTGCACTCAGCCGCAGTTGGCAAGCATGCGTCAGCTACCCTTCAATGCTCGCATCGAGTGGAACACGACCCCTGTGAGGCTGGCTGGAATCAGGCACGCCAGCATCGAGTCTACTCATTGCCTCCTTGGAAGCGCTCGTCTTCTCCTTTGGCCGTCGGCTGACATAAGTGTCGTTTACGTTGGCCTGAAGGCGCCCAACAGTGGCAGGCGCAGCTTCGTGAAGATCCATGACCTCTTCACGGAGCGTATGGGTTTTTCTTTCGGCATGGCTGGGCACCCGCCAGATGTTACCTCTCATCCCGTGCAGCCAAGTCAGGTCAACAACAAAGGTTGGAACGAGTTCATGCTTCTTTGGACGGAGCGCTTTTTTTCGGTGCATTTGAACCAGCAGCCCCTGGGATTTGCTCACGTCCGTGCAGACCTGCCTGACGGACCTCCTCCGCATTCTTCTTTGTTCGTGTGGGCCTGACGCCGCACGATCTGAGAGTGAAACCTTTGCCGTCGCCTGTCATGACAATGCTGCGTATTCAGTGTGCACTGTGTCTGGAGTTACGTCCGATCACTACACCACAATGGCGTGTGTGTCCAGAATGTTGCGCCTGGATCTGCGCTCGACACGCCGAGGTATCTCCCAGTTATCAATGCCCCGGCTGCCCGCTGCAGCTGTCAGATTACGTCGGTGGCAGCAACCAGATGTCTGCTCATTTATGGGGAACCTGGGAAACACCTTACCGCCATGCAGGTGAGTTCTTTTTGCAACGTGGCGAAGAACTCGAAGCAGGTGAGGACAAGTTCGAGAATGTTGTCCTACAGCTTCTGCGAGAGCATCAAGAGTTCCTGCGAGAAACGCTTGTGGCACTGCTTTTTGTTCCGCATCCACAAGCCAGGGAAGATATGAGCAAACGTGTGTGGGAGCGAGTCATGTATCGAGCCCGAGCCATTCTTGATTTTCTGATTCAGAAAAAGGATGTCTTGCTCTTCCGATTCTTGCACGCAGAAGCTGAGCAGCTGTCTAACGGCAAGAGAAATCCGCTCTTGCAATTACAACATCCTTCGGAAGTCGACAGCCTGGAGGATTGGCGTTTGTTCGCCGTGGATTGCGCTTTGCAACTTCACGTACTCTTGTTTGAAGAGCATACGTCTCGAGGCTCTCGAGCAAAGGTAGTGGTTTCAGTCGGGAAAGAAATCAAGAAAGACTAGGGAGATATGTCTGGGGGTTCTCTTGCAGCAGATGAAGCTCTTGCTCGCAGGCCTCACAAAAACAATCTTTCCGGGGAGTTGAACTACAGTGGAGGCGTGCTACCGCCGGAAATCCTGGAAACGCTGCCCGGCTTCTTCTTCTCCTTCGGGTATCTTCGGACGCTAGCATGTGTTTCCCCGCAAATGTGTCGATGTGTTCGAAATCGTGAGCATTGGTGGAACCGCCGTGTTTTCTTGACGGATATCGAGTTCCAGGACGAACGCACTTTGCGCAGCATGGTCTATTTTTACACAGTTGCCCGCTTGTGCCTGGTGGATGTGCGACAACTCGCCATGTTTCATATCTTTCCTGAACGCATGCTACTTGATTGGACGGCTTCTGCGGCAAGAAGTGTCCCGCGTAGCGTGTATGGGTTTACTTCAGACCGCCCACTCATGGGGTTCGCAACATTTGATTTGGTTCTTCCAAATCATGCCGTGGGCCTTTACATCGGCGTGCAGGCGTGGCGTGGGGCCAACAGAGCTTACTGCCGAGTGGACAACCTTTTCAGAGAAGACTGCTCAATTTCCTTTGCGCTGAATGACATGGCTCCACAGCGTCTCGGCGGACGCGAACGCTGCCAGCTTCGCCCGGGGCATTCCCACCGCGTGAAACTGCAGTGGGACCAACACACTTTCCGCCTTTCCATTGACGGCGCAGGAATCTCCGCAGCACTTCTTCCTCAAGACACCGAAGATGCCGTGTCGCCGTTGGCCAGGGTGTTCACTTGGGTTCATGTCAGACCTCGGCAACCTCGCGCTGGAGTGCATTCTGCAATTTTGCGACCTGTCCCATCACGCGTGCGGCTAGATCCACTCATCCACTGTGCTTTGTGCCACAGAGCCCACAGAGGTATTTTGCTTCCGCGCTGGGCAGTATGTCCGCTCTGCGACTCCTGGATTTGTGCGGTTCACTGTGCCCAGACACCGTGGCGGTTGTGTCCCCACTGTCCAAATCAGCTCCTGGATTACGTCGGTGGAAGTCACGATCAGAACCTTGCAAACACAGTCAGCTTCTTCCACGCAATCTCGCTGGATGAGCAGGCAGCAACGTTGTCTTGCGTGGTCCACGAGACGGAATACTGGCAAGACAATTTGGGAGGCTCTCTCGCAAAGAGCGCGGTCATCCTGCCCAGTCATTCTCAGTGGTTCCGACTATAAGCGAGCACAGGGCGGCTGCGCTAGCGAAACGTCAGGAGCGGAGGGATCAGGGAACGCGACTTGGAGCTGCGGACGAGTTCATACACGAGTGGCACGGATGCTTTTCTCCTTATGTGTGTCCCACCTACGGTCTTGGTACCTCGATGATAAGATTGCCTTTCTTTCAATTTCGCAGCGCAGCAATAGAACTTCCGATTCTGCCTGAAGCTCCCACAGACTTCCTGCTCTGTATTTTTCCAGCCGTGAAATGTCATTTGCTGGAACAGATCCACCCGCACCCCAGAGACCAGCGCATTGAGTTCATCCAGTCCACCCACACCTATTTGGTGAATGGGAAGGCCATGCCGGTGTCTGTTACTGGACTGGTGCATCGTTTCGCACAGGAATTCGATGCAGATTTGGCTATTCAAAAGATGAGAGGCAGTGTTCGGTGGCCAGACCGGAGTATTCTCGGGTCATCGACGGATCGTGGGTTCCTCTTTCGAACGAAGAAATCAAAGAGAAGTGGGCTGCAAACTCGAAGGACGCATCTTCCAGAGGGACATGGATGCACTTGCAGCTTGAAGTTTGCATGAACGGCGGCTGGACTCAAGGCGAATACTGCGAGCTGGATCTGTTTCGCCGCTTTCTCAGCCAGTTTGAAGTCCCCGCCATTGTTTTCAGGACCGAATGGTGCATCTACTCAGAACAAGACCAGCTGGCGGGCTGCATCGATTTCGTCGCGAAGTGTTCAGCCACGGAGGTCATCATAATCGACTGGAAGCGAACAAAGGACCTGCGATCCAAGTACCAGAACTTCTGGGCTTCTATGAAATCTCCCCTGGCGCACCGGCCTGACTGTTGTGGCATTCACTATCGCTTGCAGCTGAATGTGTACAAATACATGCTGGAAAAATCTTACGATCTCCGGGTCAAGGCCATGATGGTGGTTTGCCTCCATCCAGACAACAAAGACACCGGGCCCTTCGTCGACTATGTTCCTGACATGAGCACGGAGGTCGAGGGCGTTCTCCAGTCGCATCGCTTCAGCGTTTCCAGGCAGGCAAGGAGCTCTGAATGGCAGGAAGTGAGCGGTGGATCCCTGTTGTCCGGCTCGCAAAGCTCCATGGACCAGAGAATAGAGAAAGACATAAACGCAGCGATGGATGCAGATCAAGTTCCTGTTCCAGACCAGCCTGATCCAGATTCAATTGCCTTGATGGAGCAGGATCCTCCCGTGAGTGCTCTTGTGCCAATTCAGACGGCGGGTCCAGCTCCGATTGCAAGTGGTGCGCACTCTGCAGCGAGGCAACGACGCTTCCTGCCCGGAGCACAGCAAACTGCCGATGCCTTTCAGTCTTTTTTCCAGGAAGCAGAGAGCGCTTTCAGGGAATCAGTGCCAGAAAGGGCTTTGGTGCCGCTTGACCAACGAACGCGATCGATCAAAGATCGTTCAGCCGCACAGAAGGCTGAAAAGGCTGAAGTGACTGAAGTGCGAGCAAAATTTCCGAACTGGCCAGAAACGTTGGTTCGTGTTGCTGCTGGGGCCCTGGAAGTTTATCGTTCGAGGTACACAGACATCTTCGTTCGGGATTTTGTGGCCTTGATCTGGATCATGGTCGGCGAAGATTATCTACGCGCTCACAACGGAATCTGTTTTCTCTACCACGACCACGGCGCCTTCGAGCCTTACACTGGCATTCCACCGGAGTCCATCTTCGCTCAAGTGAAATCATACCTACAGAGGTTGGAGGGCCTGTTTCGGTTGTTGCCTAGCTGTTAAAGAACGGGCTTCACTAAGGGTTCCTACCCACAAAGACTGTCGGACACTTTTGTTCCTGGGCACGGTGTGTCCTGGGGTCTCGAGCCTGCACGTCGCGTGTGCGTGACGGCTGTTCCTGTACATTAACTGTACTGCACTAGCTGTGTTACTGTTCCTGGCAGAATGTTTAACACCCCGCCTTCGGAGTTAGCGAAAGTTCCTCGACTGAGGTGACTCCGACTTTTCCTGAACAAACAGTAAACACGCTGCAGTTCCTTTTCACTTGCAAAACAAACACTGTTCCTCATCGCAAACGTATGCGCACGTTCACTCGCAATCCTCTCCAAGGTTGCTCGACTGTACAAAAGACGTTCCTGCACTTTACCTAGATCACCACAGAAACAAAAAGGGCTGTGCCACGGTTCCTGTGTCCTGCTGCTTCTTTCCTCGGCTCTCTGGCCTCAGTACTGCTCGCGGTTCCTTTGCTTCACTGGAAGTTCACTTTGCCTTCCTCTTCGCTGTCTTTAGCTTCCTCTTGGTCGTGAAGCTGTTCCTTTAGCCACTCTTCTTTCATCTTTGCTTGCGCTTTGCACTTCTCCTTTCCTTGCTTGTCCTTTGACGCTGCTTTCCAACCTGTTTCCTTTGATCCTGAATACCAGTACCACTGTGCCTTGGCTTCGTTCCACTTCCACTGGTATTTCCTGTTCTGGAAACTGTAGACTGCAAACCAGTTTCCTTCAAACTCTCCTTTTCCTTTTCCTTTCATGAACGATGCTTCGTTCACTGGTCCTTTGGCGGACAGTTCTGGGTCGTCCTTGTCTTCTTCCTTCTGCTTGTGCTGTGTGACGTTCGGTGGCTCCTTTCCTGTTGCTTTTCCTGTTCCTTTTGCTTCTGGCTTCTCCTCTTCCTTTGCTGGTGTTGTGTCAGGTTCTGTGGGTGCCTGCGACCCGGCTGCTGATCCTCTGCTCTCAAGCTCCTGTGTAAGGCTTGCAATCCTTTCTTTATCCTCTTTGCGTTCCTTCATCATCTCCTTCATCATTTCTTCAAGCTTCTGGATCCTGTCTGCTTCACCTGATCCTGTTGCTGTTGTTGCTGCTGCCTTCTTTTCTGCTTCCTTCTTGGCAATGTACGCTGACGCTGCCTTTTGATCTTCCTCTCTTTTCTTCCTGGCTTCCTTCTCTTTCTTTTCTCTTTCTTTCTTTCCTCCTTTGGCTGCTGCGGCTGCTGCTTTCTCCTCTTCCTCCTTTGCTGCTGCCGCTTCGGTCTCCTCTTTTTCCTTTGCTTCTCTCTCTGCTTTGGCTTTGGCTGCTGCTTCTACCTCTCGCCTTCTCTCGGCGGCTGCGGCTGCTTCCTGCCTTGCTGCTTCCTTGTCTCTCTTCTCCTGCTCGTCTGCTGCCGCTTCCAGAATCAACCTTGCTTTGGCAATCTGCTCCTCTTTTGCCTTCTTCTCCTCTTCTGCTTTTGCTTTTGCTTCTCTTTGTTCCTTTGAGATCCTGTCCTGTTCTGCCCAGTATTTGCGATCATCTTCATCTCGAGGTCGAAATCCTGTGCTTTCTGCTCTTGCCTTTGGCTTTCCTTTTCCTTTTCCTTCCTTCTTTCCTTTTGTTCCCTTCTCGTGCTTGTACGTGTAGTCCTTGTCGACCCACTGCTTTTCTCCTGTAACTCTGTGTTGCCTGTAGATCTCGCCGTTCTCGGAGTATTCCTTCCATTCGCTGGCGTAGTCGTAGGGGTACGGAAAGAGCTTCTTCTCCTCTTCCTTTTCCTTGAGCCTTTGCTTGCTTTTGGCGTTGATCTCCGCGATCTTCTTCTTCCTTCTCTCTTCCTTTGCTTCCTCACTTTCTTCTTCCTCTGCTGCTGCTGCTGTTCCTTCATCGGGGTACTCCCCGGGATCTTCTCCTCCAACGTAGCTGCTGACGTAGGCCTCGTTCTCGTTCTCGTTGTCCTGCTCTCGTTCCTGGATGCCCTCGAAGTAGCCTCGGTCCGAATATTCCTTCCTTTCCTGGGACGTAGGTGACGTAGCTCTCGACGGTGCTGTTCCTTGTCCGTGTCCTTCACGACGTAGTTCACCTTCTAGTTCTCGGTCCTTGGCTTCTCTTTTCCTTTGTTCTTCTTCGTCTTCTTCCTCTTCTTCTTGTTCCTCTTGCTGCTGCTCGTAGAAGTCCTGCATCATCTGGTTCAGCTGTTCCTTTACGGCGTCACATGTACCTAGGACGAAGGCCATGTGTTCCTTGACCTGTTGCCGGTCTCTGTCGTTCTGTTCGGCCATTTCCTGAACCTGGTGCTTGACGTCGTAGATTTGTCCTGTCAAGGACTCTACACAACCAGCCACGTGTTCCTGGCTTTTGCGCAAACGCGCAGCTTCCTCTGTGTTCTTCCTGATCGACTCCGCGATCAAGTTCCTTTCTTCTGAAGCGTTCCTTAAGGCGGTTGCCGCCTCTCTCAAGGTAGAAAGTTCCTTGAACACTTCTTCGGTGCTTTTGCTCGAACTCGCGCTTGCTTCCATGGCTGCTAAGGTTCCTGGAAGGTTTCCTTGACCTTCTGCTACCGGGCGAACTAGTTCCTGGATACCTGAGCGTTCCGCGAGTGTTCCGCAGAGTTCCTTGAGCTGCGAAAGCATCTCACAACATGTTGTTCCATGCGCTGTTCCTGCAGACGTTCCTAGCTCACATGCACTCGTGTCACTGCACATGCCGTCCTGCTCACATGCACTTGCACAACAGAAAACATGTTCCTGAAAGTCTGGCTGAAACTCTTCTTCCTGAAAACAACTCTCAAGACACTGTTCCTTGAAACTCTGAATCTGAAGACTGTCTGAAATACCTGAAATTCCTGCAAACAACAAAGCTGCAAAAGACAAAGTTCCTGGGCTCTTGATCATTCTTACAACTGCTTTAGCTTGTGTTTGGGCCTTGTGTTCCTTGAGCTCTTCTCTGCCTACTGGTTCGTTCTCGCTGGTTTGAAAACCTAACCAGTGCAACAACAGTCTGATCCTTTTCGCTGAAAGGGGCTTGGTACCTATGTCGGCTGTGTTTTCCTTGGTTCCTACTGGGTGAACACTAATTGTTCCTTCTTTGTGGAGGTCTTGAAGAAAAAGGGTCCTGATCTGCAAATGCTTGACTCTTCCTACACCTTGCCTTGTAATAATTCCTCTAGCTGCAGAAGAATCCATGTACAAGTGTACCTTGCATTGTTTCCTGGTCAAGAATTCTACTGCTTCCTTCAACAATATAGAATCTGACGCTGCTGACGCTCCTGCGTA